CTGAATCAGCTGACCATGAGGAACCTATGTACTCAGATAACAGAACAGCAGGTGGCATCTAACTGATCCTGCACCACCCTCACTGTCTCTGCTGTGCTCAATCACACCGCTATAGTCTCTGTGTCAATCCATCACGTTGAAGATCTTTCCCCTTTTCACTGACCTTCTACATTTCCAAGCATGATGTCCTTCTGCAGGGTCTCACTCCCCTACTGCCCCCTGCCATGAGAGCATGCCCAAAGTATGTGAGATAGGCTCACTATCCTTCCTGTGCAGGAATACTGTGGCTGCACTTTCAAAACATTTGTTTCAAGATACTTGTTTGCTCCTTTGGCAGTCCAGGGTATATTTAATATTCACCACCAGCACCACACTTCACAGACCCATTCTGTGGTCTTCCTTATTCTAATTTCACATGCACATCAGGAAGCTAAAAGATGGCTTGGGGCAGGCACACTTTAGTTCTCAAAGTTCTTCTGTCTTTCCCCAAGAACTGGGTGCTCCTGACAATGTGCCCAGTGTATGTGACAACAAGTTTCCCCATTCTTATCTCTAAGGAGCAACCTGGCTGCACTTCCTCCAAGACAATTTGGTAGTTCTTTTGGTAGTCCATGAGCTATCCTGTGCCCTTCTCTAACATCACACAATGTGAAAGCATCAATTCTTCTTGCTGTGTATTGTAGAGTTGGAACTGACCCATAGCTAACCCTCCAGCAGGTTTTCAGAGGCAGTTAATTACAAAGGAGAAGACTGCCCATCCTTCTTCCAGAGCAACTGGGAGTTGCCTTTGGGATTGTACTGCAGCTTCTTGACACTAGGCCACAGAATTCTCATTCTTCCTTAGTTCTCTCTCTCTAATTTTAAAGTTGGTTCTCATGTTGAAAAGTAGACATTAACCTCAACTGGCAGGTTCTAACTTCCATAGTAGCCATTTTTATCACCTTTTTGTCTTTGTTCTGAGTAGCATAAATTGGGCTGAGGTCAGCTATTAAGGCATACTGAAGCTTTTGTAGAAAAGTGAATGAATAGAAAGGTGGCAGGGCAGGAGGGCTGGCTCACAAGTACTCTTAAGGGATGATTACATTTTAGAAACTACTAGTACTATTTTCCATGCAATATTAAACACTATTTAAAGTATGCTCCTTAAATATTGTGATTTTTATTTTGAAAATTAATCTCTTGTATCTCTTCCTGTTTTCCATAAAGAAGATGTATGTTTTAAATGCAAAATTTAATGTCACTGAAGTGTTGATGGCCCCCTATTTCAAACACCAATCATTTTCAAACCTACCTTGAAACAGCACTATACTCAAGATTTCAGGTGGCACTGAGCACTATGCTAAGCTTTGAATGTCCAAAAGCATACTATGGTGAGGGCAAACATCCAGTGCACAGTCAGGGGATCAAGTCATATGAACCCACGGCTACTGGGTCAAATACGACTCCAAGCGTCCCTAACGGACAGCAGAGAGCTATCCACAGGGTTCCCAAGGCTGCAGATCTGTACTACGGGTACAGCCTCAGCTTTCTCCTGCAGAGCAGCTGGTGGGTTTGAACTATCAATCTTTTAGTGAGACTTTTAATTTTGTTAGAAAAAGCATTATTTAAAGTATGCTTCTTAAATATTGTGACTTTAATTTTGAAAATAAATCTCTTACATTTGTTCACAATTTTCATAATGAAGATGTTTTAAATGCAAAATTTAAAACCTGGCTAGTTCATACTCATTAGGACGTGCAATTTTGGTCAAGGTACAGAGGTAATAGAGCCCTCATCCATTACTGGTGGAAATGTAAAATAATGCAGCTACTTCAAAACAGTTTCTCAATATGTTCAACATAAGCTTTAAGCATATCATCCACTAATTCCACTTCTGGGCATATACCAAGAGAAGTGAAAATATGCGTTCACGTAAAAAAATTATACGTGAACATGCATAGCATCATTATTCATCACTAAAGGTGTAAAGAGCCCAAATGTCCACCAACTCATTTAACCAACTTATGGTTAAATAAAATGTGTTACAGTAGAGAGTTCTGGTGGACAAGTATGAAGGAGTGTTCTGTGAACCCAAAGGCAAGTGGCTTGAACAGCTGCTCCGCAGGAAATAAGATGGATGATTTATAGCCTTGGAAAACCTACCGGAGACAACTATGAGATACCATCTCACCCCAGTCAAAATAGCAAAATTTAACAAAACAGCAAGCAAAAAATGCTGGCAAGGTTGTGGAGAAACTGGAAAACCCACCGGAGGGTCAGCTGTGGGTCCGTTCCAACTCTACAGCAATAAGGTGAATGTGTTGATACATACCATGGAATGCTACTTGGTTATAAAAGAAATGGTGAATTTCTTAAATGTGTTCAAAATTTTATTTTGAAATAAAGTTTATAAAATATACCTCTTTTCATTCAATTACTCATAGACATGTTTTGGTTTGTTTTAATTTTTTTTTTACATGTTGTTTTAGAATTACTTACAATTGATTGATTGATTAATTAGAGCTTAAAGGAGTTGCAGTGCCAACTCAAAGGCACAGAGTTTGAATCCACCCTACTCTGTGAAAGGAAGAGCAGTAATCTCCTCCCATGATTTACTGCCTCTGAAAAACCTATTAGAGGATCAGCTGTGAGACAGTTCTGACTAGACAGTATATACCACCACCACTACCACAATCAAACTCTTGTATATTTTCTTTCCCTTCACTCAACTTATTTGTTAATTTTTATTCCCTTCTGCCTCCCTTCTCATCCTCTTAAAGATTGATTCTATCTGTGTGTAAATGTTTCTTTAGTTTTTTTATATTAGTGGTCTTATAACCATAATTGGGAAGGAGTGGCATCCACTTCCTCATCCACTTCCAACCTGCCTCTGGAAACCCTATGAACTTTGGTCAATGATAGTTGTAGAGTGGCTTCAGGCCTTTTGTTCATAGGTTCACTGTGAATCGTGCTTGACTCAAAGGCAATCAACACAACAACAATACCATAATTATCCTTTTGTGACTAACTTATGTCACTCAACATAATTAATTCTAGATTCATCCGTATTTTACAGTATTCACAATTCTCAGTCATTTTTTTAGTGATACATAATATTTCATGGTGTGAATGTACAATAATTTTTTTAGCCACTTGTCCACTGACAGACACTGGGGTTATTTCCAACTCTTGGCTATTGTAAATAAAAGCAGTAATATATTGATACATTTCCACAACATGAATGAACCCTGAAAACACTGCTAAATGAAAAAAGTCAGTTACAGAGGTCTTGATGATTCCACTTACATTACATTTCCAGAACAGGAATAAAAAAACAGATTCACAGTTATACATGTCCCTGTTTGGGTATGATCACTGCCTACTGTACTGGAGAGTTGTCATATTCCAAGATGATATCGGGGAAGAAAACTTTATTGAGAGTCAGTGCTTTCATCAAGTTTCTAGAAACATTACCATAGATACTACCTGGCTTCAATACTATGGAAATAAAACTTGAGGAAAGCAGCACTGAGAACACATACAGAGTGCAAGCATACAGTCAGACATGCGATCCACATGGCAGTGACACCCGACCCAGGAGCAGCTGATTCATGTGGGAGCGTTTGCTCCCCAGGCCTGACCGTGTAAGCTGGGGAGAGCATGCTACTCACATACAGTAGGGAGCTACACGCAAGTTTAAAATGATACTGGAACAAAGTATTAGTGGTGGGTGTTTATGTATTCCACTGAGGGTATGGAAAACCTAAATCTGTATCCTGATTATTTAATACTGTTTTTAAGTACCGCAGAATTGTAACTGACCCATAGCTGTTCCTCTGGCTGGTTTTCAGAGGCAGTTAATCACACAGGAGGAGACTGCCCATCCCTCTTCCTGTGGAGCAGCTGGTGACCTTGAATCATGTGCCTCAAGGATTGCAGCTCAGATTCTTGCCACTAGGTCACCAGAGCTCATCTAACACTAATTCACTAATGATTTAAATAAAGTTAAAGGTATCTCTGAACCACAATTTTCTTTGCTGATATCTGGTCCACAGACACTTTTATTCTCCAGAAGAGAAGTTGTTAAACAGTCTAGAGGGTAATGATTATTTCATTCGCCCAACCTCAGTTTGCATTACTAGTCTGGTCTTGTGGCTAAAGAGGTGAAAGAGCACTGTAGGCCCTTCCTAGGTATAGAACAGCTTTCAGAATTTCTTAGTAATCTTAAGAAAGACAGCTGAACAACTCATTAATTCCATTAGATGCTGCGACAATGAATGCAATGTTACTGTTTTTTGCTTTACAATAGCTGAGTATCAACATGCTTATGGCAGGCAGACAAATCAAAACCACTCCAACGCCAGGGAAAGATTAAGTCCAGGTTTATTCACTCCATCCTATTTCAAAGAATCTGGCTTCTATCTTTCCTCCCAGGTATTAGGACATAGAGGTCATGCTCCAGTTCAGGGTTTGCTCTGAGGAGCTAAAAGGAGGGCATCGCATAATCACAAAGTGAAATGTTCCTCCACTACTTGGCCAGAAGGAATAAAAGAATTCCAACTTATACACTGATTACAATGAGGCCTTTCAGTTAAAACATACAGAGGCATAAACTATACAAGATTTGAACAGATTATAAATTTGTTAACCCAAAGGCTAACTTTTAAAGCTGTTAACACTTGTAAAGTTAGATTTCCATCTGTTGAAGAAGTATTAAATTCCATCTAGATGCATGAAACTGTAAGTTTATTTATCATAGGCTTTTAAAACATGCAAATGAGTATCACGGTAAAAGGACAAATACATAATAAAATTTACTTAGAAAGCAAATGTAAAGCAAAAGGGCATGCTTTTTCTTATTAAAGGGTAAAGCTCCACACAACACATTTGCAAAATAAAGGTTTTTTTCCATAAGAGCTTGCACTCAGAAATCACCATACTTACTTCTAAAAGGGACTCAATCTAAAGACAGAAATTAGCGCAAACACTCAAGACTGAGAAGCAGAAAGAAAAGCACTTGCCTGGTATTTCACTGGTTTAGGCGATTCCTGCTGTTTGTTACAAACAGACAAATGCAAATGTTAGCAAGTTTGGGTCTTTCCTAGCCGCAAGCCACATCCAAAGCACTCGAGTCAACGTGCAAAGCTGGTCTGCTTGTCAGAACCACAGGCTCCATTAACCACGATCTCTGCACAGCTACAGGCCATGGATAACTGACCTTTCAATTTTCAGCTCCTTTTCTATCAACTCTTCCCACATTTGTACCCTCCTTTCAAGCTGCTGTGGGCAACAGCAACCAGTCATTCTAAAAGTTTAGAAAGAATTGCTAAGATCTATGTGGGTCAGTCATCTTTTGGTAGAAAATGAGAAAGTTACCTAAAACATGGTTCTCTGACGTTTAATTGTTCTTACCAAATCTGGGAAAGAAAGCGGGCTTCAAGGTACAACTCTAACTGTAGTATGCTCCATAAGCAAGAAATCGTCAATAGCATTTTTTTTTTCTTTTTATTAATATTCTTCAGTGAGAAAAGAATTGCCTGTGTTGGGAAGGAGCTGACAATACTAACAGTACACAGTGGAGGTCTGCTTCCTTTCCTATTATAGCTTCTGAAACTGTAAAAAAAAAAAGAAAGACTTAAAATAACAACAAAACATCAACTTACAGGAATATTGTGGTCCTTTCTTCCTTTATGTGAAGAAGCAACATGAGCGAGGTACTGGATAACTTTCTTGGTATTTTCTGTCTTCCCGGCTCCTGATTCACCCCTGAAGGAAATATTAACACAGTCTGCTTTAAAAGATGCATTCCAAAACATAGACTGAAAAAACCAAAACTGAATGTAGATGAAAAGCACATAAAACAACAGGGGAAAAGAGAAAATAAAAATGAGGATGGGGAAAGCAGGGTGAAAACACATCACCAGCTGCTCCTTCAGAGGAAGATGGCCAATCTTCTCCTGTGCAATTTATAGCCTCTGAAAACACACTGGAGGGTCAGCACTGAATTGGCTCCAGCTCAACAATATGTAACAATAGGTAGTTAGAAAAGGAAAAAAAATTTTTAAAAAGGATTTTACATAAAAGAAAATATTTCTTGATAGATGTCAATAAAAGAAAAATTTTCACATCTTCCCCTAATTCTTATGGGCAGAAGTTCTGGCCAAAAGGTAAAATTCACTACAACATTGATGAAGAAACACCTGAGTACCAGAAACACACCAGGAACATCCATACTCTCAAGTCCATCTAAATCAATAATCTAACTGGAGAAACTGAACACCGAGACATCTCTGAGTGCCATCAAGTTCACTTCAACTTAGATCAACATTGTGAACAGGACAGGAGATCTAAACGTTGCCCTACCCTATGCCATCCTCACAATGTCTGCTGGCTCACGCCTGCTGTTGCAGTCACTGTGCCAAGCCTTCTTGTTGAGAACTTCCTTTCATTCTTCAATTCTCCAGACAAGTTACCCTTTTCCAGGGATTGCTCCCTCCAGGCCACATGCCTAAAGTTTCTTAAAAGCCACTGAAAATCTGCTCAAATCAGGCAAACAATGATTCTCCAACGCTGAACCTCGTCCCAATTTCAGTATAAGCCTTTACACTGCCTGTAGTTTTACGTGCTGGCCTGGTACCATGATAACCCCATGGCTTTGTTTATTTCAATCCATGTAACCTTGCAGAGTCTAGACACAGTGTCAATACAGGCTGTCTGTGAGAAAATTAGTTAATATTATCAATTTTATGACCCCGGCGAATGTTGTTCATTTCCTATTATTCGTATTTACAAATGAGACTAGCATATTTCAGAGGTTGCTCTTTATTTTTACATAATGCAAAATCTAAAACTGGGTAAGTGATTAGATGCCGTTGCTAAAAAAAAGACCTCTTGATTTGACTTCTCAAATTCCCTGAAATACAATTAATGTAAATCTACTTTAATAATCAATACAACACCATGTTACACCGAAACAAAAATCCAAGATAGAATTAGATATGTTTTAAAAAACTTAAAAATAGTATTACAAACACGGCCAATTAACAACTGTAATCCAGCATTGCTTAAAATAAGCCTTTTGTATTTAAAGATTGGGAGCTGTACTTTTCTAATAAATCCTGACCATTTTAGACTTGTACTAGTAGTTACAACTTAAATTTTTCCATAACTGTTTTTTTTAATGGTTATTGTGTTGCTTTCATTGCCTTCCCAAACCCCCTACACCCAGACACTTAGAATCTCAGCCACAGAGTTGGGTGAATGGATCTTATTAACTACTTAAAACGGCCTTAATAAGAAAATTGACTTCTCTGGGCCTCCAGAGTCTCATTTATAAAATACAGAAATTGGATTCAATCCTTTCTAGTTCTGAGATTTGGTGATTCTACATAACCACTGTAGTAAGCTCTGGTGGTGCAGTGGTTAAGTGCTTGGTTAAGCATCTATAGCTATAAAGAGTTACAACTTTGGCAACCCTGTTGTGTTGTCATGTGCCGCCAAGTTGACTTCAACTCCTAGTGACTATGCTTAACCCTTACTCTGTCAGAAAATTCTATACTTAACCACCATCCATCATTACACTAAAACTAATCCCTTTTTGTTTTGATGCAGAGCTTTTTTTTTTTTTTAAATTGTATTACTTTTACGTGTACCATCAAATCAGATCTGACTGGTACAGGAGGAGATTGCCCCCTCCTTCTCCAGCAGAGCATCTGGTGGATTTGAACCGCATACTCCTGGGATTGCAGTGCAGTGTCTTGCCACTAGGCCACCAGAGCTCCCTTTGATGCAGAACTTTTAAAGTTTCTGCATGCAGCTTCTTGTTGCTAAGTGCTGACATGGGCCCTCCAGCAGGTTTCCAGAGGCTGTAAATCACAAAGGAGGAGACTGGCCATCTTCTTCCCATGGAGCAGTTCAGCTTAGGAACGTTTTTTTCTTTCATAAAGATCCTATTTATACTCTCATTATGATCTATATTATCTTTCAAAACCTTGATGGTCTCAGTATTTACAATTAAATCTTTAATCAGTCTGGGGGGAGGGAAGACTCAATTTATGGTTTGAGGTAATGATTTAATCTCATTTTCTTATTATCCTCATGTCCCAATATCAATGGACCAAGAACTCCACTAAATGCAAACACCATCTTATCTCCAACTTAATCATTAAGTGGCTCTGAATTTAGAAGTTCAAGTTACCCCAGTGCCAGGACAATACTGAAAGCAGAGCACTCAGTGCTGCTATTTGTTGGGGAAAATTTTGGTTAGTCTCTAGATTTAATTTTTCAAAGGATGTTAAAATAATTTTTTTCTACTGCTATCACTCACATGGCCCATATATACTCCCAGATAAAATCACAACAGATAGAATTTTTAGTTAAATGTTATCTGTAAATGTTCAATTTTGAGGAGACAAGGCCTTTATACTTTTCTCTCTCAAGTACATTTTGGTGTCTCCAGTGGCCTAGTGGTTAATAAACTGCACTGTAATCATAAAGGCATATGGTTCAAATCCACCAGCTGCTCCACTGGAGAAGGATGGGCAATATCCTCCTGTGTGATTTACTGCCTGTGAAATCCCGCTGGACAGTCAGTCATGGGTCAGTTCTGTTTTGATGGTACACAACAAAACAACAGGTTCAATATAAACAAGGACAGAGTGTGCCTAAATCAATGTTGATTCAATTACAACTTGTTGTAACACTAGTGTGCAGAGAAAAACTGTTCTGTGGCATGTGACATCCCAAGGCTGTGCCTTTTTTGGAAATACTTCACCATGTCTGTCTCCAAGGACGGTTCTGTGTGGGTTCAAATTGCTAACCTTTCTGTAGCACTTGAGTGCTTAGCCATTGTCACATAGGATACACCTATACTAGAAACCTCAGTGCCTAGTTTAACAGGTGCCCAAAAGTACTTACTGAGTAAAGAATATCAGTCCTATGAAATTTTGTTAGGTTTACTATCAAACATTTTTTAAATCTTTTTGTTCCTGCCATAAATGAGCTTTATCTCTATTCTTTGTTTTCTACGTGGCTACTGCTTATACAGTGTCCTAGATGGTAATTAATACTAATCTGCTAACTTAAATTCTAGGGCCTGAGACCTCCTGGCGATACCTCACAAAAAAGGCCCATCAATCTACTTAAAAAAAAAAACACACCCCAAACAAACAAAACCCACACACAAACATGACAAGGAAACACCACCAAAACCCCAGTCTCTTAAAACCGTTTGGAACACAGTCCTACTCTCTCATGTCTGGAATTACCCCAACTCAGAACTGCCTCAGTAGTAGGTAGTTTTAACACTGGTACATGATATAGCAATGACATCTCATCAATAAATGAACTGCAATGTGCCAAGCAGTCTTCTGGATGCTAGAAATATAACTGAACAAAGCCTGTGGATCTCCAGTGTAGGAGAGCAGACACATGATGAATGAGCTGATTTCAGGACTAAGAAATGCTCAAAGCAAGTGCAGCCAGTGGAAGAGCAAGCAGAAAAGGGCACTGGCAGGAGAGCGAGCACAGAGGAGGCCTGGGGCAGGACAGAGCCTCCCAGAGCCAAGAGGGGCTGGGACCAGTGTGATGGCTTAGATATGAACGAGAGAGAGAGAGAGAGACAGTGGCGAGTGACAGAGGAGGCAGGCAATGTACCCTGGAGATCAGGATAAAATTTTGGAACAAAATCAAGTATAATTTCTTAATAGGTATGACAGTAGTTTCATTTTAAATACTCAATATTTTAATGCCTACCATAATTATTGGCTGCTGGTTCTAGGGAGGCAATTTTTTTTTCAGGGAGGTAATTTTTATGATGCCAAAGATAGAGCCTATCGCTTGCTTAGATGACCTGCCTCATTAGAATTGTTATTCTTCAGCCAACTGACCTTTGTGACAGTTTCCTACTAATCCCTCTCATCGAACACATTTCATTATGTCCCAAAAGCATTTCCCCACTCCTGCCACCTGTCACATGTAGAGCAGCTCCATGAACTGTGTGTGGATTCCACAACACTGTCCATGATGTCTAGGTAACTTTGGTTTAGGGACTACTGTTTCAATGATAGATGTATCCCGGTACCATTCTGTTCCTTCTAACAGGGAAAATGACTGTTACTGGCCAGCAGGTCGTTCTGACTCCTGGCAACTCTAAGCCCAGCAGAAGAAAACAATGCCTGTTCCTGTGCCATTTTTCATGATCGACAGCACGCTCTGCCCACTGCTGTGATCACTGGGTATAGTGAGCACCTCTAACCGCCTCTCTCCAACACGGTATCAACAGATAACATGATATCATCGTATCTGTTGGGCTCCATGGGGTTTTCACTGGCTAATCTTCAGGAAGTAGATCATCAGGCCTTGTTCCTAGCATGTCTCAGTCAGGAACCTCTGCTGAAACCAGTCCACCATGGTGACCCTGCTGGTGTCTGGAACTCTACAGCAGCACAGCATCAGGCACCATGCATAAGCCACCACAGTACCACAAACTGACGGGCAGTGGAAGGAGACTTATCTTTACCGTCTTAATGGAGGGATAGTCACCTCCAATAAGTTAGGCTAGCGTAAGGTGAAAATAATATCCACCTAATGAATATAACTAGGGAGCTCTGGTGGCCTAGTGGCAAGAAGCTATGCTACAATGCCAAAGGCATGCGGTTCCAGGCCACCACTTGCTTCTCAGGAGAAGGATGGACAGTCTCCTTCTGTGTGATTAACTGCCTCTGAAAACCTGCCAGAGGGTCAGCTATGGGTTGGTTTCAATTTTA